ATCTGTTGATCGTCTCGTCTGTCCACGTTGCGTAGAACTTAGGATTCCCCTTGTGGCGTGCCTCTTCTGCCATGTGGAGCATCATGTGGTGTTTTGGCACCATGTGGACGTTTGCTGATTGCGCGAGCTGGACGTGCGCCAATGCATGTTGCTTGAGCGCGGCGACTTGATCTGGCTCTAGCTTCCGATGTTTCAGCTTGGTTATGTCAGTGAACATTTTCAGCTGCTGTCCAGATCGCAACAAGCTCACGGCGTCTGTGTCCGTAGCTTTGTCGGATATGGCGTGCAAGTGTTTCTCTACGGCCTGCAGCAAATACTCGAACAACCCAACCACCTCCCCAGCCTTGACCTTCAACGTCGTGGAGTTCCAGTCTCCGACCATCTTGGACGTGAGGCTCTGGATCTAGATAGCGGCATCAGTTTTGAATCAACAACGTGCCCTCCCCCACACACTCTCGGGCGTTGATCTCACGTCCCGTCGCTACCCTCCACCACTACTGCTTGCCTCACACCCCAACTGGTGAGTCGGCCAAAAATCGGTCCTGCGTCAGCTCTCGATGAGGCGGCTGCTTGGCATCCTCTTCGTAAAACACGCGAAGCTCGGACATGATGCGACACATTGTCAGCTCGATGCGCATAGGCTTGTTCGTAGCGTTGGTACCGTAGGCATCGACCTCAATCAAAACAGCAATTGCCTTTACGATCCACTGTTTCATCGCGCCCAGGTTGATCGTGTGTAGGACGTCTGCGTTCAAGTTCAAGATGGTGGTCCCCAGGAGCCTGTGCCATTTTTTTTGCTTAGCACATTGCGTGGTGGATCTGTTCAGTCTGGCCCGCAGAGCGGGCCGAGTTGGGCGCGGCATTCGCCCGTGTGTGGGGGAGGGGGGGGGGGGGCGATGGACAATCGCATGTGCGGTTTTGTGGGTGCCCGTGCCTGCTGATCAGCGGGTGTCGATGGTGCATGCGGCTGTCGTTGTGTTTCCTCCAAAAAAGAAGGATGCGTGGAAGATCCCCCTCAAAGAACTTGTCCACCATGCTTGTGTCATCCATCGCTGGGAATGGTTCGAGTCTGTCGTTGCGTTTCAGGCCGAGAGTGTCGATGTCCGCTTGTCCGCAACTGCCAGCATGTTGTATTATGTGGTTACCGCATGCGTATTGCCTCCGCCACCCTCCTATGTCCTCCCCTCCCACCCCGCCACCTGTGCCTGCCTGAGCCCGCGGTCTATCAACTGCGGCCGTAACTCTCCCCACCTCCACTACTGTTGCCTTGACGCAGCTCCCTCACCCCGCACATCTGGCTCGGGCAAATGGCGCCAGCCTACATATTCCTGCAGAGGACTCTGCCCTTCAGCGCAGGACTCATTCTCAGGGCATGCCTCACCTGCATGAGCTGGTCCATCGTGGTGATGGTCACCCACACCTGTCAGGCAACATACGTGGGAGGTGATTGCCATCATCGCCCGTCGCTGTTCCGTCGTCGCTGTCATCGTCTCACTCCTCAATTGGCCACCCTCCGTCGTCATCCTCCTGCTCCGTCTCCTCCTTCCAATGGCTCCCCGCGGCACCTCGTGCCTGATTGCCTCGTTGTCGTAGAAGTCCTCATCGTGCGAGTTGACTCCATTCACGGTCTCCTCTGGCTCCTTGTACCAGTTCTCCTGGGTGCACATGCACTTGAAGCACGGCGCAGTGGCGGACGACCAGCTCGGCAGGCCGTACCTGCTTGTGAATTCCATCCAGTCGCCGTTCAAGTCAATCACCACGCCCGTGTAGCACAACCTCATTCCCTTCATCGTGCGCCTCGACTCGTCCATACAAGACGTAAACGGGCTGCCATCATGTCGTGTCGATGCCCACATGCCCTCGGACGCGTGAGTCAACGACCATTGAACAAACCTGAACAGCACGTACAGCGAGCACCAGTTGCCACACCCGCAGCCGCACAACGACGATTTCCTGGCCACGAACACCACGTGCTTACGTCCCGTGAGCAGGTTCGTGATTGAGCACACCAGCACGCTGTCTTTGTCGCTGTACTCCACGGCGTCCATGTACACTGCTAGCGGCACCATGCGATCGCGTTCATCCAGCGTCTTGCCCTTGACGAACGGGTGCTGCTCGAACGCGGGCATCCACTCCTCGGGTACTTGATGAGGCATGCCATGCTCCTCGATCTCGCGGTGCAAGGCTTCGTGCGGCGGGCTGACGAACATGCTCTCAATCGTCCTCCCGTCCGCCGTCCTCAGCGGCAGTGACATCTCATACAGCGTAGTGTCATCGTTGGTGAAGCCGAGGTACTTGTCCAATCGCCTATGGGATGCAGCATGGTTTACTCGCTGCACTTCCGCATCCCTCGCCAAAACATCATCCCTGCATCCCTACTTGCCGTTGCCTGTTGGGGCACATGACCGTTCCCGCTGGGGTGGATCACTGTTCGAGTGCCCAATAACGATCTGCCACCTCATCATCCTCACATCCCTCCTCCTCCTCCTCCTCCTCCTCCTCCTCCTCATCATCATCATCATCATCATCATCCTCATCCTCATCCTCATCCTCATCCTTATCCTCATCTTCCTCCCCCTCCTCCTCCTCCTCCTCCGTCATTTTCCTTATCATCCCCTCTCGACGTGTTCATATTCCTCCTCTTTCCTCATTGGGTCGCTGACCCGTGCCTCGAAGCAACGCCATTGCGTTTGTCCTGGCCCTCGGGGGGCTTGGTGGCGATGTCGGCGAGCTCGGACACACCTGCCTGGCTAATTAAGTACGCGATCTCTCCGACATCCTTGCCAGTCCATTCACCACATACGTATTTCTCCAGAAGAAACTCTCTCAGTGCCTGGGGCTGTCCGTCAGAAAGGGTAGGGCGGAGCAATGAGGGGGGGGGGCGACGCGCGCGATTCAGTGCGCGCCATGCCGCTGCAGCGCGCACCGAATCGCACGATCACCTGGGGTCTTGGGGCAGCGGTGGAATTAGCAAAGGCCTACCGTGACGAAGTGTTGTTTGTCTTGTCGTTGCTGATTTTGTTCCGATGCTCGCCAATCGCTCTGCGCCTCCCATGGCGCTTGTGAATCATCTATTAGGGCCATCGCTGACGACCGCCCCGAACGCAACAAAATGTCGCCTGCTCGGGGTTCCAGGCTTGAGAGATACAACGATGATACGGCGAACGCACAAGAGGGCAATGGGGAATGCACACGCCTCGGGGCAACCGGCCTCGGACAAGTCTTGGGGGGCTCAGAACCAGCCTTGGGCTCCTCAGACCAGCCTCGGGGCTCCTCAGACCAGCCTCGGGGCTCCTCAGACCAGCCTCGGAGGAGCACGCAGTGCCCGGCCCCCGCGACCCGCTGACCAGCCAGGAGTTTTTTGAAAATCATCAAGAATCATCGGAAAATCATCGGTAAATCATCGGTAAATCATCGCTGCGTTTTTCATATATATATATATATAGGGTTTTCCACGCAAATCATCAAGAATCATCGGAAAATCATCGGAAAATCATCGGAAAATCATCGGGGTGCGTTTTGTGCGACCACCGGACGCTCGAGGCACCCTCGGGGCTGCTTCAGTGTCATCTCGGGGCCCCCTCGGGGCCTCCTCGAGCTCGCTCGGGACATGCTTTCTTTCGACGCGGCCGAGTGGCGCCATGCACTCGCGTCAGGCAGCGATCCAGCTGCCCCCCCCCTCGCCCAGCACTCGCGTGCTAGGCTTCAAACTGCGAAGTCTGTCTCCCGTCCTCGTCCTCGGCCTTCCGTTTCTCCTCCTCTCCCTAATATATTTCCTCATATTCTCCTCCTCCATTTCCTCCTCTCCCTAACACCATCCTCCGATCCTCGCCTCAGCCCCCGCCCGTCATCGACGGCCCTGCCAGCTCAAAGCTGCTCTCGGCAGCTGATGTCTGGCCGTCCGCTCCTGGTGTCTCGCGGCCCTACGACGTTCCCCCGATGATGAACATCTCGCGCATCTCGTTCCTCTTGTCGTAGAGCTTGTCCTGCGCGCGAAGACGCTCTCTCTGACCCCCCCCCCTGGCAAAGAACTAGCTTGACGAGTGACCCAACCATGAGCAGTTGTGGATGCCGCATTCTGGGTCCATCGTTCGACGGGCATTCCCATGGTGCCACGGAACGTGCGTGGGGTGCCGAAATGAGTGGGGGGACCTTGCCATTGGGGCCTTCGGTGTAGCTCCCTATGGAGCCACGAAGCGTGTGAGTGGTGTGCTGAAATGGGCGGGGAACCGCGTGCGAACCCTGCCACTGGGGCTTTCTGTGGGGCTCCTTATAGGGGACACGACGCGTGCGAGGAGTGTGCCGACATGGGCGGGGAACAGCATACGAACCCTGCCATTGGGGCCTTCGGTGGAACTCCCTGTGGGCCACGAAGCGTGTGAGGGGTGTGCCGAAATGGGCGGGGAAACGCATGCGAACCCTGTCACTGGGGCGTTCGGTGGAGCTCACTATGGAGCCACGAAGCGTGTGAAGGATGTGCCGACATGGGCGGGGTACAGCATGCGGACCCTGCCACTGGGGCCTTCGGTGGAGCTCCCTATATGGGACCACGACGCGTGCGAGGGGTGTGCCGAAACTGGCGGGGAACCGCATGCGAACCTTGGCACTAGGGCCTTCGGTGGAGCCCCCGATGGGGCCACAGCACGTAGTGTGTGTGTGTGTGTGTGTGTGCGCGCGCGTGTGTGTGTGTGTGTGTGTGAGAGTGTGTGTGTGTGTGTGTGTGTGTGTGTGTGTGCGCGTGCGTGCGTGTGTGTGTGTGTGTGCCGAAATGGGCGGGGAACACATGCGGACCCTGCCGCTGGGGCCTTCGATGGAGCTCCCTATAGGGCCACGGAACGTGTAAGGGGTGTGCCGAAACTGGCGGGGAACCGCATGCGGACCTTGCCACTGGGGCCTCGATGTAGCCCCCCTCCCTATGGGGCCACTACACGTGTGTGGGGTGTGCCGACATGGGCGAGGAACCGCATGCGAACCTTGCCACTGGGGCCGTTGGTGGGGCTCCCCATGGGACCACGAAGCGTGTGAGGGGTGTGCCGAAACGGGCGGGGATCAGCATGCGAACCCTGCCGTTTGGGCTTTCGGTGGAGCTCCATATGGGGCCACGAACCGTGTGAGGGGTGTGCCGACATGGGCGGGGAACCGCATGCGAGCCTTGCCACTGGGGCCGTCGGTGGAGCCCCCTATGGGGCCATGGCACGTGTGAGGGGTGTGCCGAAATGGGCGGGGAACCAAGTACGAACCTTGCCATTGGGGCCTTCGGTGGAGCTCCCCATGGGGCCGCTAAACGCGCGAGGGGTGTGCCGACATGGGCGGGTGACTTCGGTGGCGCTCCCTATGTGGCCACGACACGTGCGAGGGGTGTGCCGACATGGGCGGGGAAGCGCATGCGAACATTACCACGGGGGCGTTCGGTGGAGCTCACTATGGGGACACGACGCGTGTGAGGAATGCACCAACATGGTCGCGTGGAGCTCCCTATGGGGCCACGAAGCGTGCGAGCGGTGTGCCGAAACGAGTGGTGACGATGATGATGATGATGATGATGATGATGATGATGATGCTGATGATGATGATGATGATGATGATGATGATGCTGATGATGATGATGGTGATGATGCTGATGATGATGCTGCTGATGCTGATGCTGATGGTGATGCTGATGCTTCTGCTGATGCTGATGATGATGCTGCTGAAGATGATGATGCTGATGATGGTAATGATGATGATGATGATGCTGCTGATGATGATGATGATGTTGCTGATGATGATGCCGCTGCTGATGATGATGATGCTGATGATGCTGCTGCTGCTGATGATGATGACGATGATGATGATGATGATGATGATGATGATGATGATGATGATGATGATGATGATGATGATGATGATGAGAAGGGCAGGGGGCTTGAGGGGGCAGCGGGGGGAGGAGGAGGAGGATGAGGCGGAGGAGAAGGAGGCGAGGGACGCGGAGCCTTGTCCTTCCAAGACGAGGGGCACACCACCAGGTGTGCACAGGATGGTTGGCAACAAAGACACGCGGAGGGCATGGGCGACGCGGGGAAGGAGGGGGGAGGGGGAGGAGGACGAGAGGGGATGAGAGGAGAGGGGAGGAGAGGAGAGGAACGCGGGAACCGTCTCTTCAAAACGAGGACCCACCACCACAGGTAGGCTAGGAAAAAAAGCGAGCGCCAGGGGTGGCATGCAAACGGTTGCCATGGGATGCAAGGGCAGCCTGTGTTTCAGTTTGAACGCGCTGAACGGTCCAATTGTTCTTATGATAAGTGTACGTGAGGCTTCGCCATCAGTGTTGATGTCCAGTTTGGGACCCAGGCTGCGTTGGCATCCCGCGGCAATCTTCTGCGGGTTGAGCGAGGGGCATCCAATCGGTAGCAGTGCATTTTTACCTTACCAAACGGGCGTTGGTGCCCAAGCAGCATGCACGCACAAGCTTCCTCCTCTTCGTCCTCCCACCCTCACCCTCCTCCTCACTCCCGATCTCTTCCCTCACACGTCCATCAGGGCAATGCCACATAGCCTCGCACCAGTAAAGCTCTGCCCAGCCTCGCTGGGAGGCGACCAAATTCGAGCGGCGACGGCGGGGCGTGCGCAGTGCGTTTGAATTCCACATCCTACGCACGTGGCCATCGCGGATAAACGTTTCTAGATGTGCCGCCCCCCCCCACACCATCGGATAATGCAGCCGTGCCCCCGTCATCAGACCCATTAAGGTTTTCTCGTCCTCGCAGTTTGGGGCTGGGGAGAGGTGGGGCGTTGGTCGAGCTAGCTACACAGCGGCAAGTCGCTGCTCCCCGAACCATCGCCACGATTGGCCGTGATAGCGAAGGTTGCGCACACCGCAGCGAGTCAGGGTCACGAGAGCGGGGGCAGAGGGAGCAGCGGCGGGGGCGCGAACACGGCGAAACAGCGGGGACGATTGGAGTTGGCGACTCGGCCAGGGAAGTCTCACACGGCACGCCGATAATGGCGCGCGACGCTCATTCGGTATGCTATATACATATCGCTGTAGCGTGCGGCCTAGGAGCTGCCGCCCCTGCTTACACAGCACCATGAGACGCACGGGGGCACGCTGAGCTTAGCGCAGAGGAGGTCTATGAGGAATAAGGCCGACGAGCTGGGAGCAGCTGAGTGGAGAAGAGATGAGATGAGGATGCAAGATCTGTGGAGGACGAGTTGAGTGGAGAATATGAGCGGACGGGATGGGTGAGGAAGGTGTGCGAGGAACGATAAGAAAATGCTAAGCCGCCTGAAGCTCACCATCACCATCGTCATCCTCAGCATCCTCCTCGCCGTCATATGCATCCTCCTCAGCTGTAGCATCATCGTCCT